AATTACTCTACTCAACAATAAATGTAGAAATTTGAAAAGACCCACCAAGTTAAGGTATAAAATAGAGAGAGGACCCCCACCCAGCCCTCCCATCAACAGGAGATGTGCCTACTATCATGCTAACATTCCAGCTGGAATCCTGACACTGGTAAATTATATGGCTTGGCCTTTAAACCAGATTCTCCTGCTCAGCATTGCTCATCCCTTGTTAATAACATATGCCTTCAGCCTGTAGCCCATGAAAACCTAGTGCTTTTTCTTCCATTGTGCTATTCCTTTATCGCTTCATTTGCAACTGCAGTCCCTGCATTCCCTCAGTATCATTTGATCGTGAGTAAATCTCTTTAGATTCTTAATCTTCTCTGTAACAGAACTTTAACTACCCTAGTCTGTCTGAGACCTCTTAACTTGATGATACTCCTTTCTCTAAAATCAGTTAGATGAGCATTTTTCCTTCTTACCTTTCCTTTGATTCAGAGAGGGAGGATAGTCATTCGTTCTCTCACCATTATTCCCGTATAGTCTCCTTCAAAGTCACTTCCCTCTGATTATATCATTTGCTTACTAATTTCATCATTGTCCTCAGATGAGAACCAAGGTAGTCTATTTTCTCCCAGTTGTTTTAATGGCTGCCTTGACAATTCTGGATGCATGTCAGCTCTTGGCCCTTCACTCCTTATTTTATTTTACACCTCATATGTAGACCTTTAGTAAATTCTATTGGTTCTGCTACCAAAATATATTTTGAATCCAGCAGCTCATCACCTGCACCTGCGTTCTTCTCATCTTAGCTACAGTCATCTCTCATCTAGGCTTTTCCGAAGCTCATAACTGGTCTCTCTGCCTCCACTCTTGCACCTCTATAGTCCATCTTTGACTCAACAGAGTGTCCCTAAAGCAACAGTTAGATCATGTCATCATTTAAAACCTTCCAAAGACTTCCCTTTAAACTTAAAAACAAAATTCAGACTTGTTAAGCAACTATCAAATCCCACATGATATGTCTTTTGAATCTCACCTCCCTTCAAGGGAAAGACCCCATCCAGGAGATTCATGCAAACCAAATACGTGGAGACCAGGCAACTAGCACATCAACAGAGATCTCCAACATCACAAAGAACTAGACAAACCTAAAGGGAGGCCTTGTGGTACTGCTCGCCTAGTGATCATACAGTAAATATATATCTGTAGATGAAAGAGGAATTATTACATGTCAGATAGCCAAGAAAGCTCTTGGTCTTCCACAATGTTTTCCAAGGATTTCTAACAAGACAAAATACCATGAAAGGGGCATTCAACAATTTTGTAATTGGAGGCAATTATTAGAAAACTTAAAATGATTTTATATTTTTTTACTCAAGTGAGTTGAGACTCCTTAACTGATTGCTCTTTTTGACTGGCCAGACCAAGGACAGCGATAGCAATATAGTCCCGATTCTGCAAGCCATATCCTTAATAAAGGTTAAACCCAAAGTTCTCAAACTGTACTGCCAGTATTTGGATTCAGAACTTATTCCGTAAGTCTCAGACCACCCTGGGAAAGGCTACCAGACACTGGCCATCCTTTTCACTAGAACTGCACATTTCATGCAGAATGCCTCTTTTCATAGACCCAGACAAGCAGGGCTCTTGGTGAATGAGTGAAAGAAGTTTTCAGATGATCAAGTGAAGGAGTTATTGCAGACCCTGGTTTGTTCATGCAAAGAGTTGAAAAAGATCACGCCGGCAGGTGGCGTGAAGGTTAAGGTGCTGGATTCCCACATGGTCAATGACTGCGGTTCGAGTCCTAGAACTTGTTTTTTTTTTTTTTAAAAAAAAAAAAACAAACAAAAGATCAAATTTAAAACGTATCTGTTAGTATGAAATTTTGAGTAAGGTGAGTCCTGTTCACCTTACAGGATACTTGATCTGTAGACATTGAGAAGTGGCATGTCATCCCAGTGAAAAGGTGTTTTGATTCTTATTAAAATAATTCATTACCATACTGGCCGTGTAACCCAGTGATAAGGAAACTGGATCCCACAAGACTGACCACAGTTAAAACCTCAGATCCAGCAACTTAAAAATCCGCCAGGCACATGTGCATGCATGCCCCAAATCCTGACTGGATAGAAAGATAAAAAAGGAATTGTCATGTAACCAACACCCCCCCACCCAGGGTGGTTTCTCCTCTCTTGCTCTCTCTCTCTCTGTCTCTCTGGCAAGTACATCCACTCTATGGCAATTTTAAAAAAGAAGAGAAAAGAAAAGAAAAAAATAACCTAAATAATTTCCTTGTGCTGTGTTATCTGTCAAGATTTTGCAACAATATGCATTACTCTGACTTTAGCCAAAAAGAAATAGTAGCTCATAGAGTCTATGGCAAGATTAGAAGATCAATTTAAAAAAAAAAAAAAAAAAAAACTGGGGACGAGCAGTTAGAGTAATGGCTGTGTTGCTGGACTCCCACGTAGTCGACTGTGGTTTGCGTCCCGGACCCAGTGGCTTAAAACTCACGCCAGGCACGTGTGCGTGCGTGCCCAAGACTTGGAGAGGAGAACGGAGGAGAAGGGATTGCGGCGTGGCCATTTCCCCTGGGGGGTGATTTCTCGCTTTCCATCTTTGTCTCTGTCTGTCTGGTGAGCGCATGTGCCCTATAGCAAAAAGAAAAAAAAAAACTCTCAAAAAACAAAACAAAACAAAACTGAGCAGCAATTAAGGTGGTCAGGCAACTATAGCTTTGGCAAAAACCACAGTACAGGAAAATTTGGCAAGCATAGTGTGGCTGTAGCCACAGGACATTGGACAGCACTGACCCTGCTGTTCTGGAGCATTCATTCTAGGGACAGTTCCCCACCCCCACTGCCTAGTGGCCAGGGGCAGGGAAAAGAAATGTCTAAACTTCATAGCTTCTCTAGTGAGAAAGAGTTCTGAGACAATGAAGATAAAAAATGGAATACTGCAAAAACACAGAAAGGGGTTTCAAGTGCTGAACAGCCAAAAATACATTAGTAAACAATTGCATAGTCCATTTTATTTTCCTGCCCAGTATCCACACATCATTCTTGCAACAGTCGAACTTCTAAGCAAAAAGATCATCATTGATATTTTCATAATTTTCAAACTTAACGAGTAATACTAACTCCTTCTCTAAACAGAGAAACAATGTAATAGAGTATTATCTATGGAAGTGGTTCTCGGATTGAGGTTCCCAGACAAGTAGCTTCAGTATCACTTGAAAACCTGTTGAAAGTGCAGAGTCTCAGGCTAGTCCTAGAGCTATGAAATGAGAAAGTAAGCAATCTGTTTATCAAGTCCTTCAGGCAGATTCTGATTATATTAAAGACTGAGAACCACAGGAGTAAAGCGGTTGGCTTCGACAGCAAGACATTTTCCTCAGACTGTTAAAAAAAAAAAAATGTCTACCGGGACAGGTGGCATAATGGTTATGCTGCTGGGCTGCGGTTCAACTCCTGCACCCAATGGCTTGAAACTCATGCCAGGCGTGTGTGTGTACATGCCCAAGATTCCTTGAGGAGAATGGATGAGAAGTGATTGCAGCATGGCCATCCCCACTAAGGCTAATTTCTTGCTTTCTGTTTCTGTCTGTCCCTCCAGCGAGTACATGACCCTATACCAAAACTCTCTTTAAAAAAAAAAAAAAAAAAAAAAGTCTACCTTCTGAGTAAAGTAAATCCAAACGACGGCTCTTCAGTCAATCTGGATGGGGCATGTAAAAACCACATGTAGAGAGATTGTGATTGATGAAGTAATTCACAAGAGCAGATAAGGATTTCCTGGATAGGGGACAACAGATGGTGAAGCAGTTATGTTGTTAGACTCACACATGGCCAACTGTGGTTTGAGTTCCAGACTTGGTGGTTAAAACTCACTTTGGCATGTGTGTATGTTCATGCCCAATATTCCAGGAGGAGAATAGATAAAAAGGGATTGTGGCATGGCCATACCCCCGGAGGGACGGTTGTCACTTTCTGTGTCTCTCATGAGCACAGGCACCCTATAGCAAAAATCTTTCAAAAAGTAAATAAATAAATAAATAAATAAATTTCCTGGATATTTGTACTGAGCAAGTATCAAGATTTCTAGGTAGAGGACCAACAGTTAGCGTAATGGCTATGTCGCTGGACTCCCATGTAGTTGACCGCTGTTCGAGTCCCAGACCCAGCGGCTTAAACTCACCCCGGGCACGTGTGCATGCGTGCTCAAGATCCCGAGAGGAAAATGGAGGAGAAGGGATTGCGGATGGCCATCCCCCCAGGGGGTGATTTCTCGCTTTCTGTCTCTCTGTCTGTTTCTGTCTTTCTGGCGAGCACATGCGCCCTGTAGCAAAAACCTCTCCAAAAAAGAAAAAAAAAAGAAAAGATTTCTGGGTAGATAAGCAAGAAGAAAATCAGGGTCAAACTCATTTTTGTGTGGTTTCTACCTCGGTCTCAACTTTGACATTTTGTGGTACCCAAGAAGATGTTAAAGACAATGCTACTAATTACAGGTTTTAACTTGCAGATGTCTGTAATACCTTGCATTAGGATCACGTGGGAGCTTTAAAAATGCCAATGATTGAAGCTTATTTCCAGGTTCTGACTTAATTGCTGTTGGTGTATTTCAGTTCCCAGGTAATTATGTATCTTAGGTCTCAAACTAATCCTATAAACTTGTTACTCAAAGTTTGGTCAGAGGAAGCCAGATGGCCATGCAGTGGTAAAACATGGTGCTCTGCAAGATAGTTCCACATGGGAAGGTTTGTGGTTCGAGTCCAGTGTCTACCTTGTTACTCTGGGCACTCTCTTGCCCATGATCTGAATCTAGGGCTGAAGATGGGCTGGATTGTGGAACTGGGACCCTATTATGGGTTTTCTCTCTATCTTTAACTTATTCATGGAAGAAGTAAATAAATAAATAAATTTTAATTTAAAAAGTTTGGTTAGAGATAAACAACATCAGTACTACCCGGGAGCAGTCTCAAGCCTCAATTTATATTTACTTAATCTGCAATTTGATAAGATACCCTCTTGGCTTCAATATACTTTAATCTGAAGAAGCATTGTTCTAGAAAACACAGACTTCTAAGGACCTAATTTTCAAAATAAGTTGACTTTTTGCGAATGAGTTTTTTAAATGTATTCTTCAAGATTAATTTGAATGTTTTTAATGTTTCAAGTTTGTATATACATTTTAGAATCAACTTTCTTTTTTTCACAGGAGAAAATCCTGTAGGTATAATCTTCTTCTTTAAGGAGGGTTTTTTTTTTTTGCTCCAGAGTACTTGTGATCACCAAAGAAACAGAGACAGAAAGCGAGAAATCACCCCCAGGGGGGATGGCTATGCTACAATCACTTCTCCATTTTTCCTCTTAGTATCATGGGCATACACACACACACATGCCCGCGCGCCTGGCATGAGTTTTAAGCTACCGGGTCCAGGACTCGAACTGTGGTCGACTACATGGGAGTCTAATGACATAGCCATTATGCTAACTGCTGGTCCCAAGGTTTTCTGAATCCATAGAACAAGTGTTCTAATCTAATCCAGGAATCTAAGTATGAATTCCTGAAGAAATCTTGACGTGTACCCTTAAGGGAGAAATGGGATTTAGCAAATGTGGAATGGGGCAAAAGGGATTTCCAGGTCTGTGGGTAGAAAACTGTGCTCTTGCTTTAACCCATTCAAACATACCCAGGAATTTTACTTCCACTGGCTTAGAAATTAAGTAAAAAGACAAGACAGAATAACATTGGACAGTATTTTGAGACATTATTTTTATTTAAAGAAATAATATAATTTATACCCTTACAATATCAACAGTTGTTAAAAAGAGGACAATCAATCTATTTCCTAGAAACAGATGAAATTATAATGAATACAATCGAGGTTAGCTTTCTCGAGGAGCTGGCATTTCTGATAAGCGTATCCACATTTCTGACCTGTTCCTCATCATATGGGTCCAGAGATAAGGAAAGGTCGGAGAGGGGAGGAGAAGGAACATGAGAGGAGACTACAAATGAGAGAGCTATTGGCCACATTGACGAAGCTCACTGTACCACCCTCATAATCTAGGAACACCCCCACGGGCCCCAGAGGTCTCTCTACATACTGAGGTAACAGTGGGGAGGCAGTAAAGAGACAGCAATGATTGCCCTCTTTGACACAAAAAAGTAGAAAAATTCCCTCAGATTCGACCAGCATGTCATTCTTCTTTGACCAAGAATCATTGCAAAATCCGATGACCCAGTTAACACAGCCCCCAACATCTACCTCCCAGTAATCAGAGTACTTGTGATCACCAAAGAAACAGAGACAGAAAGCGAGAAATCACCCCCAGGGGGGATGGCTATGCTACAATCACTTCTCCATTTTTCCTCTTAGTATCATGGGCATACACACACACACATGCCCGCGCGCCTGGCATGAGTTTTAAGCTACCGGGTCCAGGACTCGAACTGTGGTCGACTACATGGGAGTCTAATGACATAGCCATTATGCTAACTGCTGGTCCCAAGGTTTTCTGAATCCATAGAACAAGTGTTCTAATCTAATCCAGGAATCTAAGTATGAATTCCTGAAGAAATCTTGACGTGTACCCTTAAGGGAGAAATGGGATTTAGCAAATGTGGAATGGGGCAAAAGGGATTTCCAGGTCTGTGGGTAGAAAACTGTGCTCTTGCTTTAACCCATTCAAACATACCCAGGAATTTTACTTCCACTGGCTTAGAAATTAAGTAAAAAGACAAGACAGAATAACATTGGACAGTATTTTGAGACATTATTTTTATTTAAAGAAATAATATAATTTATACCCTTACAATATCAACAGTTGTTAAAAAGAGGACAATCAATCTATTTCCTAGAAACAGATGAAATTATAATGAATACAATCGAGGTTAGCTTTCTCGAGGAGCTGGCATTTCTGATAAGCGTATCCACATTTCTGACCTGTTCCTCATCATATGGGTCCAGAGATAAGGAAAGGTCGGAGAGGGGAGGAGAAGGAACATGAGAGGAGACTACAAATGAGAGAGCTATTGGCCACATTGACGAAGCTCACTGTACCACCCTCATAATCTAGGAACACCCCCACGGGCCCCAGAGGTCTCTCTACATACTGAGGTAACAGTGGGGAGGCAGTAAAGAGACAGCAATGATTGCCCTCTTTGACACAAAAAAGTAGAAAAATTCCCTCAGATTCGACCAGCATGTCATTCTTCTTTGACCAAGAATCATTGCAAAATCCGATGACCCAGTTAACACAGCCCCCAACATCTACCTCCCAGTAATGTTGGCCGGAAGTGAATGGCTGGGCTCCCCAGGCAAGAAAACACTTAGATCTTCGGGTATGGGCAATGTTGAGATAATCAGGACTGAAGAGAAAACGTCTCAGATCTTCCAGCAGGGGCACATGACAAGTGGTTGTTTCATTATCCCAGGAAATAAACACTGCAGGAAGAAGAATAGTCATATTAGCACAGTGCCATAAATTCCTGATGGACATAGCTGTCCAGTTTCTATGTATGCTAGATTATCACCGTTAATATGGGTCACAACAGCAAGAGGACTATAGAAATTTACTGATAGTCAAGGGCTACTTGTGTATATTTATAGCAAGCAAATCCTTAACACAATAAATAAAAGATATCCATGATTTTAACTCTATTCATTTCCCTGGAACATTTAAAATTATAGGATTCATAACAACTCAAACTGAATAAAAAGAACAGCTTGTCCCTCTTCAGAAAATTACAATGAATAATAATAGAATAAGAACTTTTTTTAAATGACCATTTTTTCAGGATTGATATTACTGTACATGCTTGAGTTTTCACTAAAGCATGTACAGTAATATCAACTGAAAAAAAATCCTCATATACATTTTTTAGTATCAATACTAAAGTATTAGTTTTATTCATGATAGAGCTTGAGCATGCATGAGAGAAAAATACCCTTCACAGGGGCCTGACATGCCATGATCCCAGTCCTCCACCCACTAGGATCCCAGGCACATGAGCACTGTCTCAGGCCAATTGAGACTGGACTCAACCCACTGTCTGCATGTGGCTTCCACTCCTCAGTCTGTTACGCTACCAACTGTGCCACAGAAACTTGGCACACATGAGCCTTTGTAAAGATGCTTTCTTTGTGGGAATTTTATCCCAGAATGTCTTTTGAGGAAGAAAGTGATAAATCTAGTGAAATAAGTTGCCATCTTATTTTGTGGCTCTTGTCTATAAATATTAATTTCATGTTTTTAATAAGTGTGAAGGTTATATAAAGTGTTTCTGTGCTGTGAAAATAAAGTTTTCATTGCTAACTATAAAGCATGGAAAAAAGTTGATAATTTTGGAGTAGCTCACAATTCAACAATTATCAATTTAATTAAAACTTGAAATAAATTAATATAGATGGAGGTTTCCAGACTTCATAGGAATAGGTAACATTATATTTCAGCATACTTCAGGTCATCCGAACCTTTTCTTATTGTTGACTATCTACTATTCAACTGTGTGTGTGTGGTGTGTATAATGATATTTGGCTTTTCTATAGGTTTTAATTCATTTTTTCCACCTGTTTTCCTGTAATGGCAAATTTAGTTGATAGAAATCCCAGAAATAAACAGTGGATTGACCATTGGGGACAGATTTGACACAGCAAAGCACCAAGGAGAAGAATGTACAGGTGTCCCACTGCAGGGCTGCCCCTTACCATAGAATCGACTGAGCCTGTTTATGAGTCCAGTGATGGGCCAGGAACTGAGCTCTGGGTTCACAGGTTGGGGCATATGCAGCTGCATGGTCTCACTCCTGGAAAAAAGACGCCGTTACTGTTTCTGGGCTCAGAGTTTTCATCAGAATGTTTACATCAATATTCCTCTGCAAATGCTGCCTCAAAATCCTCAGAACTATGCTCATAGGTATAAATGTAACTTCACCAACAGGGAAATGGAGCAAGTGCCAATTTATGTTATGAATATCAATTAAAACCCAATCCCACACCCTAACATTTAAATCCTGGTATACAATCCCAACAATCATGACTACCTTACCTTTTAAATATGCTTTCAAAATGCTGTAAAGAAGAAGAGAAAAGAGAGTCTTAGTATCATACAATTCATAGTAGAAAATTAAGTTCTCATTGCTAAGCATAGGTGAGCCAAACTTTTTGGTGTCAAGGACACGGATATTAATATCTTTAACTAGACTAATGTACAGTGTATTCATACTGGGAAATTAATTTTTCAAACTGTAATGATATAGAGTGATTGAATGTATAAAAAAATAGAAATAAATAAATGAGAGAAAAAAAGAGAAACTAACAAATTCTCAAATTCCTAAATATCTAAATGTCTTCAAATACTAATCCATTCCCTCTGAAGAAATTTCTGTTACAGTTTTCCAGTAATTGAATTTTTAGAAGGACATTTTCTCTTGGGTGACTGGTTACGCCTGTTGTTTCACAAAGGTTGGTTTTGTTTTTGTTTCTGCTCTTGGATCGAGAAAACTGACTTGGTCTTTGCTGTTACTTGGGCAGACAATACCATATAGCATGCTGCAAGTGAATTTTCCCAAACATTCCCTAACATGTGATGGGAGGCAGGGAATGAGGACACTTTCCAAGCCATACCTTGACTCTTCCTCAGTCCTTACCTGGAGCAGCTCCCTGTCCGGCTTATGGCACATTTCCTTGAGTTCCTCATACATTTGTCTTAACAGTATGCCCTTCAGTTCCATACTGTGTTGACTTTCCTTTAGTTGTTGCCAAATTTCTTTGCTTTCCTTTTCTAATTGCTCTAAAGAACGTCGCTCTTCACCAAAGAGCAATTGACAGACTTTGTAGTATTCGGCACGAATCATCATTCTCCGTAGAGTCACATGACCCTGAAGTGGCAATGGAATAATTAGAGCATGTATCGAGGCTGTTTTTAATCTTAATCTGTTATTTTGTCTTGTGGAATTACCAATTTGTTGCAGTGAACAGGAAATTTTGAGGCAAACACTTAGCCAACCTTTTTTTATCCTTCTCTCCCCACTAGTCTTCCCAGCCTCTAGTCATCACTATTCTACTCTCTACTTCTGTTAGGACATCATTATTAGTTTCTCTCTTTATGGTCGAACATGTGATTTTTCTCTTTATGTGCCTGGGTTACTTCACTTAATATTCTCTAGATCTTATTACTTATTCTACCCCACATCAGCTTTCCTCCACTGCTAGGTTCTGTGATGCTCATTTTGAAACAGAATATAAGGACACTCATTCTCCATTTTATCTTTTAGTATTCCACATCAAACTAATAACCATTTTTCTGCTAATTATCTTTTGTGCAAAAATACATGTGGAATGGTTTCACATCCATTTATCTGTAATTGTTTATTCCTGGCATTTTCTTTCAGGATCCCTGCAACTGCTTACTCCTTGCTCTCTTGGTTCCCAGTTAATTTTATCTCTAAAGCACAGAAAGGTAAGATGAATGTCATCTTGCCTATTGTCATCTTGCCTATTGCTGATCTCCAATATATACTTATGAAGATTTCATGATAAAATTCAAATTCCTCAGTGGTACTAGCACTTGCTGCATTGTCACCTGAGCACTGCCACTCTAATTCATGATTTAACTGATACCCACTGAGTGGAATTACCAACACTCTCCTTGTTTCTAAGTTTCTAGCTTTTACCTCTGATGGCTTTGCTTGCCTGACATGCCCATACATTTCTAAATTCAACTGATTCTCAACCTCAAATAATGGTTAACATATCTGAGAATCATTTCCTGAAAGTTCAGTTGGCTCACCTTCTGTGAAACCTCCTCTTCAGTACCTGTTGGTATTTTACGGTGTAATCCAGGAAACAAAATTTTATAGCTGGATACTTTAATTTTAGTAAAAACTAATAGCAAAGAGTCATGTTTCTCTGAATACAAACAGATGTAATCCTTTTCACTATTGCTCAGCCTGCTTATAGATGCACACATAAAGTATACTTTTGGGGACCAGCAGATGGCATAATGGTTATGTTGCTGGACTCCCAAGTAGTCCACCACAATTTGAATCCCAGACCCGGCAACTTAAATTCCCACTGGGTGTGTGCCGTGCATGCCCAAGATCCCAAGAGGAAAATGGAGAAGGGATTGTGGTGTGGCCATCCCCCCAGAGGGTGGATTTCTCACTTTCTATCTGTTTTTCTGGTGAGCACATGCACCCAATAGCAAAAATCTCTCTTTAAAATACATACATATATATATATATATATATTTATGTGTGTGTGTGTGTGTGTATAAAATCTTAGTTCAAATTCTTACTGTACAATGAATGACCATGTGACCCAAGCTGGTGCTGGAGACAGAGTGCCTTACATACCATCCATGTTTGAATTTTCCTGGTTTCTCGGTATAGATTTATCTTATTTCCCTGTGTCTTTTTCCACATGGTCCTCATTTGCTTCAAGAGCTTTTGCTGCAAAAAAACCCAATGAGTGTGAGCTGAAGAGAGGCTTATGCTGAAGACTAGATCCTAACTGAAGGAAAGAAGCAGGGGATGAGATAAATATGCACTCAGGAGGGTAGAGAAGTCATTACATCTTCACTGTAAAGACTAACAGTAAAATTAGGGAGACAATTAGAGCCTTAATATAAAGATCTGAAGATCATGTCCCACCATGGAGGGAACTGGCTTTCAAATTTTGTCCCCAAGCCAATTTTTGAAATTTACTTATTTCTTTCATGAGAATAAAAGCTGGCAGGGGTGAGGGAGAAAGAAAGACAATCACCCTCAAGAAGGTCTAATGCCATGATACTCAATGCACCCCTACCAGCCTTCCCAGCCAAGTAGAATCGTGCGTATATGCACCCAACTTGTATATGTCAATCAGGAAACCAAACTGCAATCTCCCATGTAAATTCAGAAGTGCCTGGGTACCGTGTTACTGCTGTATCACTGAGCCGGCGCATCCAAACCCATTTTTATAATTGGCTCTCACCTTAGAATTTAGTTGTCCTGATATTAGTTCTTACTCTAGCTAGAGCATAGTAGTATTTCTAAAAAGACTTCATTGGATTAGGGTTTTTAAAAAATTATAGTGGCAAATAACTGTCACTGAAATGAACAAATTTATCTACTTTAGTTTTGCATTTAATTATAATTCTAGCCATGATCAATATCATGTCCTCATCAACCCAAGGAATAAGATTTGTTACTGTAAAAATGTAAGTTCATTTTGTCTTCAGTAACATATCCTAGTCCCTGGCACGTTGCTCTGTAAATACTTCATATGTTCCACGAGCTTCTCTGCTTTATCATTTCACACATAGTGGGCCCCAGGTTCAAATATCTCTCCTTGCCATCACTTACCCGGTATTCCTCCGCAGTCCAGTCAATGGAACAGTGTCTGTGCCCCACATGCTCCCTAGTCTTACAACAGAGCATGCACAGCTGGTCCTTAATAGTCTCACAGAAGAAATCCTTTGTTCTCATGTGTATCCCACACATCTCCTCTGCAGTTTTGGATAAGATGTAAGATACTACCCGTCTGGCAAGAAATACTCGTGTTCTCAAAACTATATTGGTTTCAAAGTTTACTTGATGAGATGGTTTCTTGCACACTGGGCAACAGGCAGGAAATTGGGCTTCTTCCCAAGACAGACAGAGGCAGGGCCTACAGAAACTGTGCCCACAGCCTATGGTGACTGGGTCTATGAAATAATTCATGCAGATGGGGCACGTGAACACACTGTGGAAGTTATTGTGATCCATGTTTCTGAGGAGAGTAAAGAAAAAGTGGGTAAATTGTTTTGTTGTGTTCTTCTTAAAGAAGGCATTTTCAGAACCCTTAACAATACTATTAAGCAGGAAAATTCTTTACTGTTCTTCCTTACAAATGTTCTAGTTTATACATTAGGGTGGGATGTGTGCTGCATATGACAAAAGAATGCTGAGGAAGATCTTTAAGTTGGCAAGTTGATTTGTCAAATACAGCCCTCCCCAGCTTGTTTGCAAGTCTGTAAACCATTCCTATTTTTTAAAAAATATATCTTTTTACAAATGGACATGGAAATCAGGAGACCTGATCCAATCTTCAGCGACAGACAGTAGGTAATATTCCACCTAAAGCAATTATAGTTGTCCCTTTTTTTAGTGATTGCTTAAAATTGCAGTTTGACCTTACTTTAGCCAATGAGGCAGTAAAGTGAGACTATTAGGATTCTAGGAGTGATTTCCTTGCTTTTGCAAAGAAGCATAAGGAATAAACAACTGCTTCATTTTCCTCTGGATAGAGTTTAAACTTGATGCAATGAGCTAAATTTTTTTCTTCTCTCAAGCATAATATGCACTAGCTTTAAAGACAAAAGTAAATACCCTGATGATAACAGAGAAATAGAAGTCCTGAGTCTTTGACAACATCAAGACTTTTCTAACCAACAGATTATACTATCCGGTCATGGATGTAAAAATTGATAAGTATAAGAGGAATAATTATATTAGAAACTCATTATGCAGCCCTCATAATTAGTAATATCTTCAGGCAAGAATCAATCAATGTGCAAATCTTGGGATAAACACTCCGAGAATAAAGAATACTTATTAGTAAGTGGCTCACTTTCAACCAGCATCACATAATGTGCACACACACACACACACGCCCAGCATTGGTTTTAAGCCGCCAGGTCTGGGACTCGAACTGCAGTCAACTACGTGGGAGTCCAGCAACATAACCATTATAACGTCTGCTGGTCTATGTTTTTTTCAATAAAGTATACCAGTATTTTGTATAAGCACATATATAATTAAATATACATATATAAATAATAAAATATGGATAATGTGAGTCACATCGGTAGATATCCATAGCAAAATACAATTATCAAGTTTGTAGCTAAAAATTAAGAGCTATTTGGTGGCAGTCATTTTCCAAACCCTTACTCTGTTCAATGAAATTGTACAAAAATTAATAAATCATCTTATTAATTTGGAAAATATGTAGAGTGAAAACATACTATGGATATTCTAACAATTTATGGAAAATGTGTATCATGAAAAAATTATGAATATCAATCATTCTTTTTTCCAAAATAAACTTGTATTTCAATTCAACTTTGTCATGAACCTCTGAAGTCCCTTCTAAGTATAATGGAACAAGTTTAAGGTGGTAGAGGTATTTCTAATGACTCTATTCTTTATTGGAATCATAGACATAGATGAAAGCAGAAGTTCCCATTTTTCAGAGAAAATAGCAGAAATTGCTCTTATGTAAATTGTGTTCTTACCTGTGAGTATAGTTGAGGGATTTTTCCATTGTTCAATGTGAGATCTTGTCAAATTCAGTTCAAATAGTCACCTTGTAGTTGTAGTAAAGCTCAGAAGTCTACACTATCCAGCTGGCTCCCAACACAGTAGTTGAGGAGAAGAATGAACTCGTTCCTTTGCATGATATTTTATAGTCTCCAAAGACCACACCTATTTCCTCACAGTGATTACCTTATAAGCTTTTTGAAAGGTTTAAGTGTATGATTAGGTTTTTTAGAGATGAGACCACACCCTATTGCCCATGTTTTCATTGATATTCTTAGCCTACTTAATCCAATCACCAATTCCATTCTGTCATAGGAAGCCATCTTTTAAATTAATCTATCAATATGTAAACCAAAGATGTACTTTTAAAACAAATGAATGCCCAACATAAGGATTTCACATCTGTTTTCAGAAATCATGTTCTGATCCCAATATCCTCACCCCATTAGAATTCCCAATATTTGGTTAATTATCTGAATCTGCATCTATTTCTTTCTTGATAAAAGTGTTCTGAAAACTTATGCCAATTGGCAACAGAATGCTTGCATAAAGATGATTACTGCTTCACATTCTAA